TAGGGAAATATAATGTGTGGCTATTTTGTACAGAAAAAACCTAGATATGCACATATTTTGATTGATGCCTGCACAATTTTGATAGTCAGTATTTCTGAAAAATAGCCACTAATGTAAGTAAGTCTTTATTACAACATCATCTGTTTATATATACCAAGTTTATCTAAAAACCTTACTGATCTCGTCTCACATTTACTGTTTTTTTCCAAACTAGATTTTTCTGTATAGTGTCTATAAGATAATGATCAAAGCTAAGCTTGTTTATATTTTAACCCTAAAGCCTTTTTTTTTTTAAAGTTAACTGAATTATAGTGGCATCAGCATCTATAAATCAGTGCTCACTTTTTCTGAGCTGACAGGGTAATGACTATTAACATTGGAACCCCTCATTATAGTGAAGCTGTGTGTGTGTTAAAAGGATCAGGATCAGACAATTAACAACTAGTTTAACATACAGTGACTTTTGAGAAAAGGTTAGCTAGAGATACTATAATTTGACATACAGGTTTGTAGAAGCCATTTGGAGTTACAGATTTTCTATAAATTTATACATAGCATTATTACTTTTACCAAGCTTTTTAAGAGGAGTAATAAGATTATATTAAATAAACACCAATTAAAAGTATATCTAAGGAAGTAAATCTTCAGCTGTGTTAAATAAAAGCAAAAAGAAATTGAGTAGCTGCTTTAAAGAACTTTGTTAAGAAAAAGTAAGCTAAAGAGCTTCTTACTCAAAAGACCATCCAAAACTAAACAGAGCCTAGGCATAAAGTAAATAGGTATGAAAAATAACAGACAAGTTTTTTCCAGGAACTAAATCAGTGATTCTCAATCAGTGTGATGGGCAGCCTGGGGTACTATAAGGTCTTTTGAAGGAGGAAGTAAGAGGAGGCAAGTAAGGTGTAAGGAGATAAGCACGTAAAGGCAGTCTCAGGCTCTTCCTGCCTAGCTGTTCCGCTAACCCTCTGCAAGAGAGCCTTTTAGTAAATAAGTTAGATTTTGAAATGGAGTGCTGCTCAAGTTCACAAAAGTTATGCAAGAGTACCTCAAGCCTAAGAGGGGTGCTTAAAAAAGGTTAAGACCTGTTCTACTAGATGGAAGACCAGACAGTTTCTTGGACTGCATGAATAGAACTGTTAGATAAACTTACCATCAGTCCAAGACAAAAAAAAAAAAATTATCTTTTCAGATCAGCTAAGACACTTGTGTTGTACTTTAGTTCTTGTCACCTTGACCATGGGATTGGTGTGGTAGGATATAATAAGTCAGCAGATCACAAGGGACTTCATCATACCAAGGAGTGTGGGGTGGGGAAAGTTGTTTTTGTTTTACAAGAAAGCAATAATTTTTCAGAGAGAGATCCAGTCCTCCTTGGAGGTAGGAAAGAAAAACCCCAAAATGTTTATGCCTTCAACAATATTTCAGTCCGTTTAAGGAGGAAACAAGGGTCCCCAACCCTTAAGACAAAACCATATAAACATAAAGACTAAACAGTATCAAAGACAACAAGAGTATTTTTATCTTTATAACTACAAATATTAAGAGAAAAACAGCATTTTTAGAATCCACAAAACCAAGCAGATAAACATAACAAAGACTAAACTCTCTGAGTAGTGAATTCATGTATCAAGTTAGATAATTATTTAAGCAACTAAATAAAGTAAAACTTTTTTTTCCTTCTTTTTTTTTATGTGGTATAAGTAGCTAAAGTAGCTTATGTGGTATAAGTTTAGAACTCAAAACCCCCTTTCGCCTCTCTCTAACAAAAAGTCTTAAAATAACATTTCTTCTTTTTTCATTTTCTACTCAGCTACTTAGAAAGGGTAATGTACTGCTGGTTTCCTTATATCAGTACAACCCTAGCTCCTCCTCTTTTAGGAGTTGCCTCTCTACCATTCTTAAAGAAAGCAATGGAAAGCCTACTGGGCATGCTCTTTAGAAGTAAACTTCCTTAAAAAGGAGCTAGTCTTTCATTTCTCTTCTTTTCTTCATGTCTCAGTTGAAAGCTTATGCTATATTTCAGTCTGTAACCAGATACAGGAGACAAACTTTCCCAGAAGTAAGTTTTTACCCACTGCTGCTTTTTGGGGTGCTATATCTAAGTATATTGCTTGTGAACCTATTAAGAGTAATAATAATATTAACGTTTAAAGAAATTCTCTCTTTTGATAGTTGTTTTAAATGAGTAAATACTTAATATGAAATATTTTGTTGGTAAATCAACAAAGCTGTTCTTTGGACTTGCCTTATCCTTTATTATCTACAGGTGTTAAGAATAAAAAAAAACCTCACTGTCAGTCACTGTTTTCCCACACATATGCAGCACTCCTTTCTTTTTTACCTTGTAAATAAAGCTCTAAGGTCCAGTAACCAATTCCAACCTAGCCTAGCCTATACTTTATTAGCTTTAAAATATTGTTTTTAAAAATAGAATAAACATAAGCTAAAGCATATGTCTGTTTTAGTTTTTGGAGTTTCAGGCTGTTGTTTTCCCATATTACCCTAATAAGGCGCATGATGAAGTCTACAAACTAGCTGACTTTCAGGAATATCCTTGTTGTAAATTCATCTTATAAATGCAAGAAAGATTTCCTGTCTATCTGAATTGGGTATTTCAAACTACTAAAAAGTTTGAGAGCCTGAAACATACACTCTTCTCTAAACTTTTGCTTTTTGCCTCCGTGTTTCCCATTTCTGTTTAGCTTCTCTGTCTGCATCTTTTTGTGATACTTTTGGTTCTTGTTTTGTTTGCTCTATCTATTTTGGTAGTTGTTTCCAGGTTCTGTCTCTTCCTTTCTCTTGTTCATCACAATGACCTTTCCTTCTGAGGAGAGTCCTGGAAGCTGCTCCCTTTACAGCCTCCTCTTGCAGCTTTCCAAAGCATCACAGACTTACCTCGAATGCTGTAGGTACAGCATCTTCCAGACTCCAACAGCTGTCTCACTGCAGCTCTGTGGCAAAGAGAATTCTGGACCACTGTCTCTTTAGTAGTTCCATTTTACTCCCAAATCCCAAAACAGCATGTGAGTAAATGGCATTTGCTTGGCAATACTTCAGAATAAAGAGGTGCTGTTCCCATAAGGGAGTGAGGCATGAGGAACCCATTCCCCAATATAAAGATGCTATAGGATGAAGGATTACAATCCTGATGCTTCACAGAACACCTGTGCCTCAGTCATGAGACTGGTTATTCCTTTATAACTTTCTCTATCTTCATTTGTTTCTCTTTATCCTGTTTATTCCTTTGCAGTCTCCTATTTTTCCTTATGCTAGTAAGTTTATTGCTTTCTTTAGACAGGAAAGCTATGGAGTAAATAAATTATTTAGAATAGCTGTTCTAGTCTAATGTGGATGCTATTACAGACTAAGTCACTTTTATTCTAGAGTAATTTCTGCTTTGTTAGCAAAGGAACTGTTTTGGGAAAAGAATCTCGCTCACTCTGGAATAGTGTCCAAACACAAAGCTCTTCTGGAATAGCTTTTGTACTATTCCAGTCAGTGGGACAAGGCCTCTACATAGAATACGCAGCCTAGGAACAATTACCTTCTGTGGATTACTTGGTTGAGTAACTTCAAAAATGCCAAAAGCGTGGGAGGTGTGTTTGTAGGAAAACAAAGGATATGTATGTGCAAGTCCACACCAATTTTAGTCTTTTCCTTTACAGGCAGACTTGTTGCTTAGCTGCTGCTGCTACTTGGGTGACTTGAGCACCGTATGCCGATGCATGTAATGGAGCTTGAACCTGTGATAGTAGTGAAACTTGGTTTAGGGACCTGCAAAGCTGGAAAAAAGCAGTAAAGACTACAAATGGGTTCAGGTGCTCGTTACTTTGACCAGGGTGTTTGGAAACTAAGTTAGGATGCTTGTTCCTTTTTTTTTTTTTTCAAATAGTGCCACAAGGGCACAAAAGTGACCCCCATCTTCTTGTCCCCTCACTTCCCTCCCCTCTCTTCCTGCCCTTTCCACCCCCCTGCCTTTTCCTTGTGCGGTTTTCAGTTTGCCTGTAGTCTGGGAGTTGGCAGCACGGTTGGAAATAAAATACAGTTGCTTTAGCTCTCAAGTTCCTACCTCTGGTCCCACAAGGGAACTAGAGCTTGAATTAGGTTAGAAAATACACTCTTTTTAATAATTTAATACAGCTAAAACCTTTTAAGGCTGAGCAGCCTACTGTCATCTCAGACCCCAAGAACACATAATTGGTGGTTTCATTAAAGCTGGGCTTTTAAATACAGTGCATGTTCTATGTTATTGGAACTAAATGGGGAAGCCTCAGAACAATACACATCATTTCATAAAATGCATTTGTGCCCCAAGCCATGGCATCTGAAAAAGTTTACTACCATGATATGGGTGTGTTGATAAAGGCTTCACATTGCAGGCCTCTGGGGCCAGCAGGCAGCAGGGATTTGTATATTTATATCCACTTAATTAGGAATCTTAGGATTCTTTGCTAGCGAGTTAAATCTCAAGTTATCATCTCGAGTCAGTTGTGCTGGGAGAGGAAATTCTCTGAACTTTTTTTACAGTAGTTAATAAAATGTATGTAAAGTTACATCTGTCACAGCACATCTTGGAGGCTAACGGCATGTATTTAAGTACATGTTAGCATGCTCTTCATGGTATCACATTTCATATGATGCCACTTGCATCATATGAAATCTTGCAAGTGCACTTTGAAAGTCAGGCCAAGACTAGTTCTGCTATGACCAAAGTATCCTCTTAACACTTCTATTGCAATAGGCCATAATTGGAATACAGGCTGCATTGTGATACATTCTGTACAAACACAAATGGAGATGTGATGCTTTCTTAGCCTGCAATCTCTTCAGGAAAGCATCACCAGTGACAAGCAGAAATGATTAATAAGGGGAACAATGAAATTGCTCATTTGCTCTTTTATTTTAAAAGTGTAGGTATCCATAATACCCAATAATAGGCAAACTGACTGTAGGCAGTGCAATAGAATTGGATCTCCAGAAGGGGTCTGAAGGATGAGGGGGTAATGGAACACATGACTTGGTGCAGGCAGTATATTGTATATATGAAGAGTAGCTTGGAGGAATGCAAATGTGCATTTATTATGATAGTGTCAACCAGAATAAAGAAGCTGGCCTCTTTGGCTGAACAAAAAAAGTGGGGTGTGTTGGTGGGGAATATAATAAGAGAAGACTGGAGAAGCATGAAGGACTTTGAGTGTGAGAATGTGGGGTGCCTATACATGTGTATTGAGGCTGCTCTGTTGCACTGTAATTGCAGCGCATCAGAGCAGACACTATTATAGTGTCTGCTGGATCGTGATAATTACCACACTCCAGCAGTGACATGTGCATCAGAATCCCTACACTGAAAACCAGTGGTGGAGGTGCTTTACTGAAGCTCATTTGAGCTTTAGTTAAAGCGCCCCTGCTGTCATTTTTCAGCTTGGAGACCCTGATACATGTGACATTCTGGGTGCTTTAATTAGAGTGGCTCTCGGAGCATGTGTGTAAATACCCATGGAGTCTGAAATTTACGTTGTAAAACACTGCCAAGGAAAAGGTATGGTCAAAGTGACAGTCAAAATGTCGGCATCTGTGTTGCAATTGTATCGGAGAGAGTTGATGTGTCAGGGCTGTAGAGGGAGGGGTTTTAGAGTAGGGAAAGATAAAGTGTAATGAGGACTGCATATATAGTCTAAGCAGAATGTAATGGAGAAATCACAGCCATACTTTGCTATGGATCTCAAAGTAAGAAATAAAGAGATTATGACTTTCATGTTAAAATGGATAATGCTTTGAGCTGTGGGAAAGTCATTTGTAAAATGATTGTATTCACAATGGAGCATTGATAGCTACGTATTGGGTAGGCCTGTGGTTCTCCAACAAAAAAGCTGAAATGCCAAGCTTGTATTATATTCTTTGCTTTTTAAAAATCTAGTTACTGCTTCCATTTTGCGGTGGTTTCGATGGAGATTTGTAAGCAATGTGTCTGCAAATTGTTCTGGACTTGCACCATGACTTGTTTGAACTCACTCATTACATCCAAGAAGCATGGCCATAAGAATGGCCCATATGCCAAGTCATTGTACAAATGGCCTATTGCCCATTGGTTTTAAAGCATAGCTGAATAAAAATGTTATGACGGTGCCAACTAAAATGGCATAGGTGGTGCTATAAGCACTTCTGAGTTTTTAAAGTACACGAAGTCTGAGAGCCTTGTGCGCAGATGTATGGAATAGCTTGCAGGTGTAATCCTTGTAGGTGCAATCCATTGTTTTAATAGCTTTCAAGTAGGGACTCTAATGTAGTTAGTCCTTCTGGAAGCTAATGTATAAGGCAAAGGGATTAAGAAGTTATTCAGTTTAATGTTAGATCTGAGGAATTGGTATAAAGAAGCCATAAACTATTTAACATATTTGGCAAAGCATTTTTATGAAATATTTACCCATCTATTTTACTTACAGTTCTCACTTTATTCCCTTCATGTCATTGATGGCCAACTGGCTAACAAGTGATCCTCTCACTTTTTATTAGAATCCAAATTCTTAATTATTTGGAACCTGTTGCTTTATATCAAGAGACTCGGGACTAGTGCCAGCTCACTTTGTACAATGTCTCTTTCTACCAGTAGTTCTTGTGGCTGTACAGTTTAAGCCCGAGGGTAGTTGTGAAGAAAGAGTCAGTGCTCCGACTTGGAGAATATTGTGACTTACTGGAAAAGGTTGCTAGTACCTCTTAGAGCACTCTTTTGACACACGCGCACACACACACGCGCACACACGCACACAAAAAGAGTAGGGATTTTTTTGCTTGTGAATCATTGAGCAGTATCACTGTAAGAAGAAAGAAAATACCTTTAGATTTTTGTGGCAAAATCTCCTACACAGAAACAATGACTGAACTAGTAACTCTTTTTGGTCCTTTTTTTAAGGCATTTGCAGTTCCATTTCACAGCAGGGTAAATAACAAGCACTGAGTAATGACCTTTAATCTGCATTTAGAGTTCTTCTCATTTATGATAAATGAAATGCCATGTGGCTAGGATTGGTGTTTTTTGGGTTTGTTTCTTTTTTTTTTTTT